AAGTAAAACAAATAAAAGATGCCAAAGTATTGCTTCTATATCCTCAAATTGAGCAGTTTAGCACTTCTGAGAAATCAGTTATTTCTCATTAATTTTTAAGTTACGTACACTTTTAGATATGCAAAGCTCTGTCATCCAGCTTTCTATATATCACACTAAAAACAGTGATTAGTACAGATCACTGTGTGCAATGCCTTCTTCTCCAATACACTGCCTTCAGTTTCTTGGAGCCTTTCCAGTTAACAGTTTCCAGTCTTCACCTCCACTAATATGTGTATATTCACCGCAAAGTCAGTAGAAGATCTGTTTGACCATTTTTTTCAGACTAAGGATAGTAAATATATCCAATAAGTTCTCCACTAAATGTTTTGCATATAAGCCTGTCATACACTGACAATGTCACCTATTTGCAAATTTAATTGTGAGATATTGCTGAAAGAATAAAAAAGACTCAGAAAACACTGTATTTAGATTAAATGCTTGTCTTGACTGTTATTGAATAAGATTTTTGTATTATTAATATTTTTTTAAATCACTCAATATTTATATTGGTTCAAAATAAATTAGTCCAAAATGCCTTTGATTTTAAAGTACCAAATTTTAAAACCAAGGAAAGTGGTTAACAAAGTCAATTGAACTAAAAAGGGAGGTATAATAAAGGAAAATAAAACAAAATAGTAAAAAGATTATTTAACCATACACATTAAAGGAGAATAAGCAAAGAAGGACTATGTGTTGAATTTGAGAACACAAACTAAGTACTCCTTTACAGTAAAGTGAAAACTGTCTTTTTTTTTAATAGGAGCAGTGACATACAGTGATTGGGAAATGTCAGTACTGTTGACAAGAATGGGCTGTGGAATGGGAAATTTAAAATGGAAAATCAGAATGGTATGAATTGTGCACTGACAGACTAAACCCATGTATTTTATACCAAAGCAATACTAGGTAATGATTTTGAACAGATTTTAAATGAAAGGAAAGTTATCTCCAGTTACATACAGCTAAACAGAAGAAAAGGTTACTAGCATCAAGTTACTGCAGATACCTGGCACAAGGTATCCAGACTTGCATTATTCAAGTGCCCAATCACCTCCATGATGATGAGAATTCATCTTTTTAGACAAAGAAATTACAGTACCTCTTATCTATCCAAGCATTATATGAGAAATTAGCAGCCAAAATGGACAAGTGGATTAGTACAAGACTGTAGAGTAACAAAATAATTAGCTAAATGGGAAAGTACATGTTTGTTCAGAAATAAAGTATTAATTTATAGGGCAACTAGTAAGTCTCTCAGGAATCAGTGTTGGAATTTATCTGGATTTCATGTTTTCATCAACACACTGCATAAAGTAGGTAATTTCTGTAACACAGTCTTAGTGTCAAAGTGTAAAAGGATCAGAAAATCCATAGTAGAAAAGGAATAACATATAACAGCATAAAGTGTAAGGAAATGCATTTTAAAAATACTACCAAAACTTAATGCTATAAACATGGAATTTATCTGTTTAAAAAAAAGAGGAGTGAGTCATCAATGTGATTGTAAAATACACCAGGGAAGAGATTTCTAAACAGAAAAATTTTACTGCCAGTGCTTCAGAGTTCAAAGAGACAATCTTTTAAATACTGCAAAATGTTCTGGTAACTATATTTAAAAATATTTATTGAAACTAGAGAAGTTCCTGATGAAGACAATCATGATGATTAGAGGAAATGGAAAAATGTAGGAGAAAAAGTTGAGAGAACGTCTGATTTTGCTGATAGATACCAAGGAGGAAAAAGACACGTCTAAGTAAAGGACAATGATGGCTTTGGGACAAAGGTATTTAAACTAGCAATGACTAGGCTTAGGATAGAAATTAGAAAACAGTTAAGATAGGCATCAGAAAAAATACTCAAACTCCAGAACATCCCTCCAGTGGAAGCTGTAATAACTGTAGATAGCAAGTTTTATAGTCAGATGTAGTAATTACATGGAATTACTTACCTAATTGTGTGTTTTCTTTCTAGCAGGGAGCTAAATTAGATGACCTGAAAATTCCTGGGACTGTGATCTGTATGTTATGTTGGCTGTTTCTTTTTTAATAATGGCAAGACAAAAACTGAATTCTTTCTAGAAGAATGGCATAATCTGTATGAAGCCCTTGAATGCTTGCTGAATTGTTTCCTATCCTGTTCTTTACACGTTATTTAATATCTTGTCATTTCCAAGTATATTTTATCCTGACTTTTCAGAAAGACTTTCTGACTTTTGCAGTAAATTTGCAGAATTAAGCTACCTAAAGTAGTTCTTATCACTCCTCATGGTCTTTTTCCCTCTATCAGTACACTGCTCTACTCACCAGCATTGTGAGCTTATCTCTTCAGCCTTCTCCAATCTTACCTAATGAAAGCAATTTTATTTTATCTGCATATCTTAGCCACTTAATATTCTATATCTTCCCTGAATCAGTAATGAATATATAAACCCTATGACAGTATGTTACATCTCATTGTCAACCTTTTGTCCTGCTCTGAGGTGACCATTTTCTTCCTTCTCTTCCAGCTAATGCACTGAAATCAGAAGCAAGTATTTCAGTTAATATGACAATCATTTCACCACTCGCTGTGGTCTCTGCTAATTGTAATCTCAGGCAGTACCTCACATCTCACTTTCTGAGTGCTTAGTTTGCTCAGTAGCCCTATAATAAGCATCCAATTAAAGGTTTTTGAGCCTTAATCTGAAAAAGTTAAGGTGCTGTAAATGCAGCACAGGCTGCTGTGAATCCAACAGAGATTGCAAGTGATGAAGACAAATACATACCTGTTAATTTGCCTATCTAACATTCAGGCATTATTTATAGCATAGAAAGCTGGTACTCAGAATGCTATATGGTATTTAGTTGGATCCTAGTAATTTTGAGCTTCATTTTCCAAACAGGTTTTATTTCTGTATTGACTTGTAAAAGGATGAAAAAATACCATGAAGACTCTTCATTTAGAGCAGTTCTAAAACATGCAAAGGAGGATGCCAAAAACGCAGATATGAAAGGAAGACCATAAGAAAGGCCAGCATAGGAAATAACACACAGGTATCTGGTGTGAAATATATTGGATGATATATGTTGGGTTAGGGTTGTTAGTTTGTTACATGGAATACACTGTTTCAAGCAACAGAAACATATCTGTTATTTGTGGGGAAATATATCTGCCACTGAACTCCTAAAAAGTGTTGGAGAGTGCTTCTAGGTTTCCTACATGTACTGCAAACCCCTTTTGCTCCAGATCCAACTTCTGCTTCCCCTCCATGTGCCTTCTGTCCCACAGGGAGCCAATCAAAGCCTCTGAGCCAAAAGGGATTTGTGTCAGCCTTTAATTAGTTTCGGATGACCAAAAGATCATGATCAAGAGTTTATCACAGCATGTACATGTCAGTTAGTATAGACACAGCTTCCAAAAGTATGCATTGGCCAAATTCTCATTCTCTAACTGAAAAATAGTGCCTTCCTTCTCCAGGTATATCTCTGACTTCATTGACACTGAAGCAAGGTACTAGGCAGTGTTAGGGATTAAAATCTAACTGAAAAACTGAAATACTCTGTCTAAGCACAATATACATTAAATATTTCCCAGTTTTGCATTTAAAATCATTTAGTGAAAATTTTAAACCATATATAAGTGCTTACTACACACATATTATTAAAAAATGCTGTAAACAAGTATCCGAAATAATTCTAATAACAGATTGAAAGATCCTGAAACATACTGCATATGCCTTGGATTCTCATAATACAACATATTTACCAAAAAAATCCAAAACGAAACAAAACATACATGAACCACCTTTAAAGTACAGAGATTAAAGAAGAGCACACAACTAAAACTTGTAGTGTAACAATTTTAAGAGTAAAATATGCTGCCTCAGAAAAGAATTATGGCAAGGGTGGTCAGGAAATCCACTGAGACCCAGTCTCCCTTCTCAGTTCCTGTGGAATCTGAGCAGTAATAACTACACTCCTGTTCTAGCATCCTCTGGGTAAAAGAGGCAAACTTCCTTTGGGGTATGAATGATCCTATATACAGACTGAAAGATTTCTTTACTCACGTAAAGTAAACATATTCTGAAATTGGCCTTTAAAAACTGAAATAACAGTTTGTTATTGTTAATCTATATAAAATTAACATGACTACTGTTTCCTACTTTTCATTTTATTACAGTATTTGAATGGTATTTTCATTTCAAATTATACACATCAGTTGATTTTGTTCTGGAAAACGCATTTCTACTGAAATACAATCCTCAAACACTTTCTCAGATGTCATGAAATATAGCCATCTTATCTTAGAACTTGGGCATGTATTTCAAATTTCAGTTCTCTGTTCCAACAAGAAGTAGTTGTTTCTCTACAAATAAGATGGTTGGTATGTTACCAAATATTACTGAAAAGATAACATTTCAGGGAATAACAATTTTTAAATCAAGAAATCAGTCTTGGAAGAACAGTTTTTCTTCCTATACTAGTTCCCGCAAAAATCTAAGTAATTATCTATATTGCAGCAATTACATACAATTATGATTTATAATTATCTAGGTCTGGGCTGTATGCACATTAGGAGTTTTACTGAGTGTGACATTCAGCAGTTTATTTTGTGATTTTTCTCGGAAGATGTTTTCACTAATCTAATGTTGTAGAAGTTTCAAGATCCCTATTACAACTCTTTCTTATCTATGCTGTTCCTGTTGTTCACTGTACAAAAGCAAACAATATCTTCTTCTCCTCCTCCTCCTCCTTCTTCTTTTTCCTCTTCTTCTTCTTCTGTAGGAAAGGCATTTTCATATTTCACATTTTCAGAGGCATTATGTTCAATGTTATTTAAAGTGTCACACTTCAGAAATATTTCAGAGTGACAGGTTTCTGCTGGATTTGCCAACCTGGGAGAAAATTTTTCTTCAGAAATATGAATTAAGCTTATTCTTAGGGTTTGGCATGTTTTCTGCTTTCTATTGGGTAGCTCACTATTTGGGTCTGTTACAAGATCACTCAGTATGTGTTCAGATGCATTGTTTTGACAGTTGCTGACTTCCACGGGTTTTACATTCACATCTTCTATAACATGTAACTTCCCTAAACTGCTTGTGTCTTTCAAAGTTGAAGACGCAAGTATCCCAAAGTTATTAATAAAATCTAAGGTGTTATTAGCATAAAACCTATTAAAAATATTATTGGCAATCTTATTGATACAGTTATTCTTCAGAGAAACATTGCTGTTGTTGCCTGTTATTAAATCTTTGCCTGACCATTGTAAATGTTCACTCTTTTTGGTCAACAAACACAGATCCAGCTGGTTCTCAATATCAGATGCCTTTTGGTAGGCATATCCTCTCTGTTCCTCATTAATTGGTGTTACTATCACCATCAGTATTGGACAATGTTGACCACATATAGCATGGAGTTTATCCAAAGAATCTTCTTCCTGAAGATCATTTCTGTTGACATTACTAACAGTGGCTGGCTGAGATTGTACAGGTTCACCTGAAGGTTGTTCCAATGGATGCACCTTGTTATCGGGCAATCTAAATTCTGGAAAATTGGTATCAGTCTGTGAGGAAATATGTGTGGAAGTAGAACCTACCATGACTGCTGATTTGATCTTTTCTTTATTAGCTGCAGGAAGGGAAGTAATCTTACCATTGCAGCTAGGTTTGCTTTTCGTACTTAAGTCATCCTGAAAGGGGTCTGAATCACTATTATGAGGTATATTGAAGTAGTTGCAAAAATTTTCAGGAGGTTTAGCCATTTCTTCAAGTTCTGAAGAAGAGATTTCATTGAGGTCTGGGTACTGATTCAGATTGCCAAAGTGCGAGTATGGAACATCATCACTGTTATTATCAAGGACTGTGTCTGTTGATGTTGTATCCAAATTACCATACATTCCAACCCTTTCAGGTGGTGATCTTCTTATCAAATGATTTTCTTTGAGAAGCCATTTGCCTTTATCTATCAATATTCCTTCATCTTCATTAGCTTGTACACTAGGTTGACAGTATTGCTTTGGAGATTTCCCTGAATGGTCATTAGTATGACTTGCCTCTTCTCTGTAAAGAGGAGGTTGTGGAGTTGGCAAAGAAGTATTTTCTCTTCTTGATGTAGCATTGTGTTTGTTTATGTTTACTGGAAATTCTTGTGATGGTAGAGAAGAATGTGATGACTTCTCTGCAGAACAAGACCTACGTTCTTGTGAAAAATAAATGGTTTTTTCCACCACTGAAGAGTGGAATTCTTCAGTATCCTTTGGAAATACTTTTGACATATAAGGAAATCTTTTGTGAAAGCCAGGCTTAAATGAAGCTTCTGTCTTGCCATAAAGTCGTTCAATAGTTCTTTTTACATAGCCATTATTATAATGTTTTTCAAGTACTGCTTCCTCCCCGCTTTCATTGGTCAAATCACTGGATGCTCTATGGTTATCGTCACTCTCTTCAGTGTCTGGTCTGTAATCGGACCAGTCTGAAGTAGCAGGACTTTTTAAGCATTTTTTAAATTCAGAAGTGTCTGAACATACTTTATTCTCCAGTTCTTCTACTTGCAATTTCTGTTCTCCTTCACTAATATTACATTCTGTAATTTGCTTTGATTCATAACAAAATGATAATGGAGAGACTGTAGCTAACCTTTCAGAGGTTTCCTCGGAAGTTTCTGCATCTTCCTTGTCTTCCTGTACAGAATAATTCTCATTGTTATATTCTACAGAGGTTTCAGCAGCTAGTTTAAGATGGTTATTTGTTTTTTTGTCATTACTTTCTGGCTTTAGTTCAACTTTCTCATCTTCACTTTTATCGGTAGTAAAACGTGTATCTTTTTCGACTTCTAACTCAGAAGTGTCCTGATCTAAAATATTATTTTTATCATTAGAAGTTACACTATGAACTGTTGAGTAAGGTTCTACTGAAGTTTCTGACTCTTCATTAGTGAATGATGTATCGGTGTTTCTATATTGAGAGTTTTTATATGGGCTATCAGGCATTTCTTCATTCCTTTCAGATGGCTCTATAGCTGATGCAAGGCTACAAGTATTTGAGGTACTACTGGCGTATTGACCATCTAGCTGTGTTTCGGGAGCACTCAAGTCTAAAGTATCTGCTTCTCCACTAAGATCTTTTTGTATATCAAAACAGCTTTCTGATTCATCAGTCAATTTTAGAACTTCTTCAGAATTCGCACTGTCCTTTAGAATATAAGACGTAACTGATTTTGCATTTTCATGTAAATGTAGATCATTATGAATTTCAGGTATGGGTATATTCTCATGGCAGTGTGTGGAGTCCTGCTTTCTGAGCTCCTTCTCGAAGTGTAATAAGTTATTTTCTGTCGATTGTTGAAAATGTGAGAAGGCAGCTTTCAGTTCATCAACTTTTTCTATTACTGTAGTTTGTTTCAGAAATTGTAATTGTGCAAATATTTCAGAACAGCTACAGGTAGTTTTTTGCATATCATCTTTAATTGTCCCAATCAAACTCTCTCTCAGATTCAGTACAAGTAGCCAAGCTAGGAGGACATTGGAGGAAGAACCAAAAGATGAAGGAGAAAGACCTGAAAGGCAGCAAGCTTTTCCTATACATCCACTATGTTCTTTCTGGAGACCAAGCAAAGTTGATTGTAGTTCATGCAGCAACATGCTAGACATGCAATTGTTCTGAACATCAATGGCCATTTTCTCATTGACAATTGTGTAATCAACTTGAACAGCAACTTCAGATTTTTTTCTTTGACATAGGTTGGTATCTTGAATATCAGCTTCTGACATTTTTTTAACAGTGTCATGTGTTTCATGAAACAAGTGTAGCTTACCATCATGATGAAATTCAGACTTTATTGAATTATTGGCTGCTTCTACTATAGATGTATTCTCATGAATCAAAGAGTCCGTTTGGTTTTCACCTGAATCCTTGGCTGATTCTTTTACAATTCCCAATTCAGAAATAGGCTTTAATGTTTTTTTGGTTAGATTATGTTCAACCAGATGGTTTTTTCCAGTCACGTGCACTTTATTTGTCATAAATCTTGTTTCCTTATCTGTAGAAGCATCAGTATTTTCTTCAGGAAAATGACAGACATTGCTACTCTCTACATTCCCTTCTTTTTTATTTATAGGGGGGAGGACAGAATTTGGTAAGAAGTTTTTCAGCCAAGTTTGAACATAGTCTTCAACTGAGTGTTCGACATCCTTCTCTTGAAAATCCTCCTGGTTTAGAGACTCTGGTGTAATGGCTTTGTCTGAGATATTTAACTGACTTGCACCTTTTCTTAGTTTTTTCTTCAGCCCTTTTAGCTTTTTCTCTTTCTTTGATGACAAATTTTCCAAAATATTCTTTTCTCTTTCAAAGTTAAGATTCTTTGGCACTTCTGACAATGGATTTGAAATCACTGATGAGCTGTATGTCTGTTCAAAAGAACTGCTTGTGAGTTGTGTGCCTTCTTTCTCAGTACCCTGTGTATCCTGACTGTGTTCAGATTCATTGTTTGAATCAAGCATCATTAGACCATCGTCACTCTTTGCAGATGAAAACACACTATTTTTTTTGCCTGTCTTCAATTTTACCATGCCCAACTTGTTGTTATTACTTCTTGGTTTCTTATCAGATAATAATCCATTTTGTTCCACTGAATCCTGGTGATAGAACTCATCTCCAGGACATAAGCTTTTGTCTGAATTGGCAGACATATCATTGCTTTTTATGAAAAATTCAGTTCTTTTTTTCTGAGGCATTTCAGAATAATTATCCATAGCCTCTGTTGTGGAATCCTGTGTGGTTTTGCTTGTGATATGCATTCCTTCACTTTCCGTTATACCTGAAATCTCTTTATCTTTTTGACTTTCATATGTACCTTGCTTTAGAAAGTTAGACGATTTTCTCTTCCTCTTCTTTTTGGTGAGGGAACATGCAGACTGGCTGTCATCGTTGAGATGTGTTGCCATCACAGATTCAGTCCTGACACTGATTTGATTCTCACTTTCAGTAGCAGTAGGAAAGAATCCAGTTGTTGGGTTTATTTTCTCAGTAGGAGCTTTACTACATAGAGGCATTGTCACCTTCATCTTGCTATGTCTAGGACAGGCTGAATGCACTGAATCTTGAGAAATAGCTTTGTATCTTGTTTCTTCTTTTGACTGACATAATTCTGAGTATCTAATAAAAGAACTCAGTGATCTCTTTATTTGTCTAATATTACATGACTCATGGATGTGGTCTGCTATAGCTCCCTGGTAAATTTTTGATGATGGTATGGAACCACTAATGTTAGCTTTGCAAGTTGATACTAAACTATTATATGTACCTTGTTCCACAACTGATTTCTCTAATATATTCTGTACCAATTCATCCTCATCAGGCACTTCTAATGTCTTCCTATTTGTTGTTTCCATTAAATCATTAGTTTTGTGGCTTACTTTAAAAAGCATTTCTTCTTTTATATTCTCTGAAGAAAGTTTTAATAAATCATTGTCACTCATCTCACTAAACTTTGGATTACTGACACTTGACTTTTTTCTGCTTGAATGAGCTACCATGCAATACTCAGATTTATTTTCTCCGTTCTGTATTTCTTCACTGTAGGAAAACTGTCCTATTGTCTTCTCCTGAATCTCTTTCTCAGATACCAAAGTGACACTTTCAACTACTGCTTTCTTTTGTCTAACACACCTTGGCCCAGGGGTGGGAGGCCTATAAAAACGAGCCCTTATATTATCCTCAGGTACATTGCTTACATCTAGATCTGCAGAATTGTTCTTTTTACAGACAATAAAACCAGCAGTTTTTAAATCAGACTCTGATTCTTTGTCTGACACTTCTGCATTGAATTGCTGTAATGAGTCTCCCTCTTCTTTATTGTAGCTTTTCAAAAATGAGACATCTTTTGCATTTATATGTTCTGATACATTTACATTGGATAAGCAGTCTTCTGCATGCATCGCAGAATTGCAGATGGCGATATTCTTGTCATCAGAAAGGCCAGCACGACTTACAGTTGTTGTCCATTTAATGGTTTCTTCTTCTTTAATTTTGAATCGAACTTTCATTTCCACTGTGATACTGCCATCTTGGTTAAGGTGAACGGATTTCTCAATGTCATCTTCATACTGTGCCACAGATAATTCTTCACCAGTAACTGACTGATTTCCTCCTGTACCATTATGACTGTCAGGAACATAGGAAGAATCTGAGCTGTTATCATTTGAGTTGTTATAATTGCTGGACCCTTTATCAGAAGAAACTGAGAATATCTGAGATCTTGAGCTAGAGCCCATTTCAGCTCTCACTACCAATAATTACATTGAAGGAACCCAAATTCATTCAGTAGGTGGAAAGTAGAGCAGACAAATATCATGCATAAGGATCCAGATGGTGAGACAGCAGACAAGCAGCAAAGGAAAAGAAAAAAGGAGAAAAATTAGTACAAAAGAAGCTAATGAAGTGTATTTATTTTACCAGAGTATTAGAAAGTAAAGAGAAAAACATGGTTAATATTGCTGTTTATTTTAAGTTGTTAGAGAGACAAATATAACCAATTTTTAATAAAGAATCAGTGCTTTGCCACTTAATTTTATTTTGCAATAGAGTCTTTCTAATGCCAGAGCTATAATCTTATTTGAAGCTCCAAAGCCTAAACAAGTACCAAATGCTCTCATTTTATACCTAACTGGGAGATGAGTTTGCCTTGAGTCTTTCACAGGCCTTTGCTTGTTTCGGCTTCAAGCTACCAACCGTACTTCTTCATGGTTTAGCGATCATTAATATGTCATTTTCTATTAGTTCTTACAGTGAGTGCTAAAATGTGTCAGTCAAGGTGAACATATATCTCTCTGGGCTTAATCGAACAATCTACAGCATACAAGTAATTACTGTGAGTACTGTCACTGACACATGATACAATCTCCTCTGGACTGATCTTCTATAGAGAAATAAACATTGAAGCACTTGAACTTCTTACAAAATCTGAATTTAAATCATGACATTCTGAGATACATTTTATGCTACAGTACTATAGATGATGGAAAAAAACTCAGTAAAGCCAATGAGAATACTTCCAGACTACAATGAATTTTGAATATGCCCAATATGTATTTGCATACACATTAAATATTTCCAAAATATGTTTTGATTACTCTGTAATAACTTGGCTTTTTAAAAGTTACATCTCATTTCTCTCTAGCAGTTGTCACTGAAGAGGTGAGAGATAAAAGAACATGAGATAAAAATAAAGTTTTGTTATCTTACAAGAAGTTCTGCATGTGTAAAGGAAACAGCGTGTGTACACTCACACAAAGACATCCACAGCTTCTACTGATACCTAAATATATAGGAGCCACCATTTAATAGAAAGTTTTCACTTGCAGAAAGGTATTTTAACATATGTAATATTAACTTATCTACATTACTTGAACTTAAGCTTTTTTATTTTTGCTCAAGTGAATCACAAATAGTCTTACATTCAAACTTTCACAGTTAACATATGACTATTATAGATACTTGTCTATAATTTCAGACAGAGTTTCTTGCAAGTTTCCCAGACATATGCTTTGCCACAAACTGAATCAGAAATGAAAGTTTGTACTAACTCCTTTAACACAGACCAGACCTTATGCTTCACAAAGTAGAAATCTCACCTTCTCTGACTCAAGAAATGGAATTGAAACAAAGTGCCTGAAATTTGATTTTTCAGGCTCCCACATGACCAATGTTGTCTCCTACGCAGGATACTTTTTAATTTCTCAGGTTAAAGACAAAAAGAGGGTTGTTTGGTTTTGTGGTTGGAGTTTTTTTTCCTGCTATTGGAAGTCACTTGCTCAAAGCAAAATCAGGGTAGGATTTTTTTTGTTTCTGCAGAACTTTCATTCTCAAAATGTTCATATTCATTCTCTCTTGACTCATTAGTTATGCTCTCAAGCTGTGCAAGTCAAAGAACATGAAGGCTGAAAAAAACTAAAATGAATCGTTTGGTTGGGACATAATAAGCTGTAGAGGATGTGGAAGAAATTCTTGCAAGTAAATGGAAGCCAAGTTTCTTATGTATCATTGTGCTCCATGACAAAGTCAAGATTACCATGGGAAGTCTTGGTACAGAAACAATTTCAGTGTGCCCTGGGCTCTCCAGTACAGCATGCAGCTGTATCAAGAGTACAAGGTACCTCTGGATTAAACAAGTTTCCTCCTAGACAGTACCTATGACCTACTGGATGCTCTAATGCTGAGGATTCCCACATGACCTAAAGCCCTGGTATGGCAGCATTTTATTCCCCTCAGGATACTCAGCTAACTTGGCTTCTCTCCAACAGCTCCTAATGTTCTTGATGATCCACTGGCCACCTCATACTCTTACTGACCTTGTCAGTGGCTCAGGTCCATGAGTAATCAAAGGGAAAGTACATATTTGTGTATCTTTTCCCAAACTTATCCAAAAAACATATATCACAGCTGTGAGGATATAGGAGAGGATGACACGGAGTTTAGACAAAAGCATCTTCAAAAGCATGAATTTGTGAGTGGGTGGGTAGTATAATGTTTTTTCTGTTTATGTGAATCATGTGACATGGGAAAAAGTGAAAGTCATGACAATGACAGTTCACAGAATCACAGAATCACAGAATCATGCAGAATCTTAGGAGTTGGAAGGGACCTCGAAAGATCATCCAGTCCAACACCCCTGCCAGAGCAGAATCACCTAGACTAGGTCACACAGGAACGCATCCACGCAGGTTTTGAATGTCTCCAGAGAAGAAGACTCCACAACCTCTCTGGACAGCCTGTTCCAGTGCTCTGTCACCCTCACAGTAAAGAAGTTTTTTCTCATGTTCACATGGAACCTCCTATGCTCCAGCTTGCTCCCATTTCCCCTTGTCCTAGCATTTGACATCAAATTCAAACCTTCAGTTGCTGAGGTGAGTTCTGAAAACTGCTTAAAAGTTTTGCTCAAGAAATTCAGTCAGTTAAGAGCCTGAAGTAACCTATGGTTTCTCTTTTACCACTGTTGTTATTAACTGTGACACCAAAAACAAATAATAATGACAATCAAGTACATTAAAATAAAATATACTTAGAGATTCACATCCATTTTCTAAATAAGTCTGTTTGAAAGAAAATATATATATACTAGCTGAGTACTTAGCAAAAACTTACATTTTTAAAAGAACATTAACACTTTGATCTTTCCTATGTCTATTGAGGAGTCAGAACAGATATAAACAGTTTCAACTCGCCTTTTTGAATATCCTTGATCTTAGTAAGATTGTCATGCTTTATGTCTTATGCTGAGTGAGATAAACCAATTAATAAAATACAAATTAATTCAAAGAACTTACTATTTTCTCTTTCTGTCTTGGCAATTGCTTTTGGGTACACACGATTTGCAATTCCAAGCAATTTAGCAGGCCGTGAATACCCAAGAGAATCATAATTGCTTGGTTTAAAAGGCTCTCTCCCCGCTGCGACAACAGCTCCAGAGCACAGTATCAGGGCCTGAAGATTAGGAACCTGGAAAAAAAAAGTAACATTAAATTCTCTGCCTTAATAACCACAAAAAATAATGTAAGAGGTTTATCCCTTTCATGCTTTAATATCTTTACTTCTTAGTCTCTACATTACTTTGCAGCAGGCTATTAAATATGTAACACACCATGGAACTAATTTTTCAACTCCTATAAAGCAATTCCTACCTCTGTGAGAGTATGTCTTGTTACATAAATATATTAGAAAAAGACTTCAAGAAGCAACTTGGATCAAGATCAAAAATTTCTTATAATTTAAGTGCTTGCATGTGTAATTTTGTTTCGTCATTACACAGTGACTGTTCTAAGTCATGAAACATGCATTTGGAGGTAGGTATACATATGAACACGTATCTAGGGGAAGAAAGGGAAAATTCAGAATACACCACAAGTACCTGACCTGTATTGTCACAGAGGAATAAGGCAAAATCATAGAAAAATATACATTGGAAAAGACCTCTGGAGGTCATGTAGTCTAACCTCCTGCTCAAAGCAGGTCTGACTGGATCAAGGTCCTCAGAGCCTTGTCTAGCAGTTTTGAATTTATGTTCCAAAATACACTGCAAGATAAGACTTACAAACTCCATTTCATTGACTTATAGGTAATAAGGACAGTTTCCTAACCTAATATAAAATTTCACCAAATGGGATGCAAACACAAGATTTCCCTTGAACTCTTGGAGCTCAGCAAGGAATTCTCCTTCTAGGTACCTGTTAGGTATAGACACAAGTGCTTTTCTGTGATTAAAAAACACACAGATAAAACAGTAAATGAGGTAAAATTATATAAAACAACATGTGAGAGGAAAATCAGGATTATTAATGCTGTATCATCTGAGTTTAGAGGTACAGAACCTGGTCCAAGGTTTGAAAACTAATAGACAATCAGGTGTCATAGTTCCAAGTCACTAACAGCAAACCATTTTGCATTTGTGTAATTATAAAATATTTGTGGCTATTAGATGTTACTTATGACATTTTTAAAACATTATAAATCACAGATATAAGCATTAGACTAAAGGAAATTTATTTGTAAATGGGTAAAAATATAGAATTGAGAGTATGCCTGAAAGAGGGCTGAGTAAGAAAAAGTGTTTTTTTCATGATGACTGAAAATATAATGTCCTCACTTGCTACTTCCTGATTGCAAGATGTCCTTCAAGTCTTTCTGAAGGAATGAAGCATAGAAAGGAAACAGCTGAAACTCAGCACATCAGATCTTGCACCAGGCCAATGTACCCAGTTTATAATTGATAAAGTTACCTTTTAAATTAAATATAATCTAGAAGCAATCATAGAACAATTGTCAGTACTCATCTTTATTCTCACCTTTCTGCCATCAGTGGTATATAGTTTTGCGACTGGATATTGCATTAACTCACTCATATAATCCAGAAAGGCCTCAAAGGTTTGTGTATTTTTCTTTCCCAGAACTATGGTGCGTCTAAGTCTTACATCTCCATTTTTGAAAACTAACATCTTTTTGGGAGTTGTTATTCTACTTTCTCGATGGCCAAATCCATCTTCATGCTCCCTTGCTAATTGCACAGCTCGACGACGAGCACTGATAGGCCTACTGATCTGCCAGGGCAGTGGCTTTTTGCTAGCCTGTTCCAGGTTGATGGGCTTCATTTTCCTCTGATGGGAGCAAATATAAGATTTTCCATCTTCAAGATCCTCCAAATTGGTGATGCTGTGCCTCCCTTTTGGTGTACTAATATTCCTTACTCCAAAAGGCAATGGGACCCGTTTGGATAAACTGTCCAACAAGGCATCAAATGTTTTGTAAGACCGGTTATTAATGACCATTTTGATCCCATTAAACTGAGGATCTCCACTTTTATAGAAGCAAATCCGCTTTGCCACAACAGGTTCAGTAACATTGACATGGCGTGTGGATAAACTCTGTTCACTCTCGGAGGAGTTTGGCTGATTCACTGAGTAACTCGTTGAAGGTGTTTCACTCATTTTGACAGCAATCTGGAAGAAAGAGGAGATGGATGTAAAACTTTTCTTATAACTAATAATAATACTGTCTTCATTTTGAAAGGAGCAGAAAGAGAATTTAAAGAAACCAACAGCATCAAGTTGTGCCAAAATCATTGGATTTAAATGGATCCAAGCTGTTATCTCTAAATTCCACAAAGACTACAGTACTGACGGATTATGTTAGCATAGCTCTACTTGCAAATATTTCCAAAACTCTACAATGTAATTTCAAATCTCTCATCATGTTGGTAGAAGAGACCTTTCCTTAGAAGATGGTACTTTGTCAGTCCAAAATGATTAGATGTTTTCTTTTTGAGGATTTAGTTAATGACAGCATTTCATATTTCATATATTAGCAAAATCAAATCTGTGTTAGGAGAGAGAAATTTCTGTATAGGCATGAGCTGTTTCAGTCCAGAATAACAAAACTGAAAGCCAATACAGTTAATTCTGATCTCATATACTAGTTTTATACCAGGGCAAATCCATTGGAGTCAGAGAAAATTTCCTACACTGTAAACTAATCAGAATAAGGCCCAAAACATGTTTTAGGGCTAGGTTGCATCATAGATTAACAGGTCATTTCCCTTTCCATTATGTTTTATATTTCTTGATACATAAACCACTACAATATTTGCATTTGTACAGAGAGAAAAACTACTGATCAAATAAGACTTCTTTAAGTAAGGGAAAAGTCTTTAAATCCTTTATAAAGACACAAAAATTTCAGGTACTCTTCACTAAAAGTAGCCTTTAAATTGAAACATTTAAATACCAGAATTTTAAGCAACAAATTATTTCTGACAATTATATTTATCATCTTCATGCTTGAAAATAGAGCACTCGCACCACAATATTTCTATTTGAATCCAATCTACATGCAGATACTGTAATGACAACCCTTTAAATGAATAAAATTACTTTATCTTAATTATTGGCTTGCTTTAACTAGAACACAGGGTAGAAATGGCCAGTCAACTAACCAGCCTCAAGGAAACAGTTTTAGTAGATTTTTACTGAAAAGCTGTACAGCTGTCTCAGAGAATATATTTGTCATCAAAATAATATGAATACAATTCTTTGACAATGTCACCTTGATGTGGCTGTCATATTGACTAATGGAACAATCTTTTCTGGTGACTACATATTTTTCTTAATGAAGCTGTGGGAAACAATATTTTGACTATTTTACTACTACATACATCAGTTCTGAAACTGATAAGAAAATGTTGCTATTTTTCAAGACAGTCAAGGTCCAAATAAAGTCAGCTTTGACAAGATTTTATCTCGCTGTGCTCTTACAGCTTTTCCAATAATGCATCGCTTTCAGCTTGCGTGTTTGACTTCACTAATAGATAACAACTTTTTGAAATGTTTGTTATTTAACAGATCTGCACTAGAATGATGTACACAAAGATTGATTTAGGTAATCACAATTCCATTTAAAAATAATAATTAAAAATTAAAAACAAACAAACAAACAAAAAACCTGTAAGTATTGAATTAATTAATGTGAAGGAAGACATTTTCAAGATTAGATACAGCAACTTATACAACCCAGTTCATGATGGCTAGTGAAATGGCTTACTTTCTGTGGTAGGAAGGAGCTCCACTTCAACCAAAATCACTGAGGGCTATAGTTGCTCTACTCTTTTGACACATCTGTTCATTGACTGCCTAAATTTTCATTGCATTTCTAAACTGAGAGGTTGACAGGTGAGCTAATACTAGGGATATGATTTGAACCAGCCATTTTATGCTTCATGCATCTTTCTGTTTACACTTTCAAAGTTGGACTCTATGATCTTAAAGATCTTTTCCAAACCAATTATTCTATGATATACCTAGAGGATATCCATAAGGGCATTTTTATTGTTAGCTACAACACAACATTTCCTACTCTTCTTGCAGAGAAAATGTTTTACTCCAATGAATGCAGCAATGGCAGTAGTAAAGTTTTTCAGTGAACTGAGTGTCATGATACCCCATTTAGCTGGCCAAGAAGACTTGAGTTTGATAACAGAGTGCAGTCCAGGATGTCTGGGGGAGGGGAGAAGACTGTTAAGTCATCATCAATAGTGGTCAGAGACAGAAATGGACAGAGCTTCTCAAGTTCTCTGTACTACAACTTCTCACCCTTTATGGAAATGGAATGGCACTTCATATGACTGTATAATTAGTCACTCGTACAAAAGATAAAATAGGTGCATTTTCTTCTGAGACTACTAATAATAATCGCTTTTGCATTAGCCTCTCGGAAGTTGTTCTGGATATTTGTATTTGTGTAAAACATCCAGTTATGTAAGCGTCAGCATTTAGAAAAGAAATACCGTACATTTTATTTGAAGATAACTTTTAGACTGATTCTTGACACTGTCAAAGTAACAAAATCCTAAACTATCAAATAAAGAATACACTTATAAGGCAAAAATACTATTTCCATTACAAACAAGAAATAATTTGAATTCACAAAAGCAACTAAGAAAAAGAAGTTTTCCTTAACAGAACATAAAATGAATTATAAAATTATAGTTTTGGAAGAGAACTGATGATTGCATGACACACCAGGTATGAAAGAACTGATGGTTGCATAGCACACCGTAACTTAATATTTTCTAGTATTAATTTTAATAGTGGAAATTGCTCATGAATCTTTCAAATAGCAAACCTTTCAACAAATGAATAATCAACATATTGTAGAAGTTACTATTAAGTTACTATTTAAGTTATTTCATCTTAAACATAGTATTGATTTTCATACTTAAATGATTTTATTCTAAAATTAAGAAACAGTTGATATTATACAGAATGTCTACTGAGATATTTTGACAATCACAGTGTTAAGAATTTTATTCTGCAAGAAAATCAAGCAGAATTCAGAATTTAATCTCTTTGCCTGCATTCTCATAAGCAAAAACATTCATTTTAAGTTTATGCACAAATCTGCTAAGTTTTATAAAAACACTAAGTGGAACACTTTGTTCTAAATATATAAGAATACGACTAATGCCATACAACTGGTAAGTATTGCATATCATTTCATCATACTCACCCACAGTCACATCCTACGTAAATAAAAGAGTAGTTAACTTGTTTTTAGAGATTTATAAATTGTTCATGTGATTGTCTGCCATATGAAATGAACATTCTTAGTCTTGTTCCAAGTGCGCTCAGCTAGAAAAAAACATTGTAATCCATTTGCTTAATCTCAGCTAATGTTAATCACCAGATCAAGTTCACCTCAGGTAGCCATTTTTCAGAGCATTCAACTCATTCAGCAAGCCCTCTTTTATGATTTTTAAACCTTATTTACCTTTTAAATATTTCATTGGCATAATTTTCTGTTTACTTAGATTTCTCAAAAGACTCACAGAACCACATAAAATAAAAATATTGGTGGGAAACATAAGTCATCTAATCTGTCTTCTTATCAATGTAGGATAATCCTGAAAACTAAATTCTTTAGTGACAAAAATTTTTAATTTGTTAAAATGGAGCTTCCACCACTCACCTTCTGAGACTATTTATTATCTATCTCCTAGCATTAATTCTCACTTTTGTTCAATCATTTGGTCAAGATGGTCCTCTTTGTTCTAAAGATTCTCCCACATATTCTCTACTCAGACATCACAATGAAAATAGTTCCACAGTTTCTTTCATGACTCCCAATAAAACATGATAGTCTGAAGTTTTGTCATCCTTGAGGCATTTTTCATCTAAGCAAGTTGGGAAAAGGGCAATGCAAAGTTTATAATTGTGTGTGTATATGTTTTACGAGGAGACAGAAGGAATATACCTAACTTTAGCTTAATTATACTACAAAATGTGGAGTTTTTTTCTTTTTCCAGTGGAAATACTATGTCCCTGGATGGCAGCTGTTCCATATAATTGCTAGCAGATGTGTAATCTGATTTGGAGCTTCTTTGCTTAATCAGGATTACAGCAAGCTCTCAAAACTAGCTGTGTACAATAATAACAAAGACACTGCTCAGTAGACACTACCACTGCATGCCATAATGAGTTTTAAACTATTTTCCTTTTAGTAGAGAATTCAACATTCCCAAATGTTTTAAAATACTGGTACAGCTTCACTTTGATAAGGTGCATAGGCACAAACATTAAACAATAATCTTGCACAGATATTTTGCTATAAACATTGCTCTCTTAAATACTATATTAATATAATTATTTAGGTCCTTCATCTCTCTTAGCTGATGTAGTGCTTGTATTCCAGTCAGTATTCTGTTTTTTACATTTGTTGAATGGATGAATGAGTGAAAATTCTATGTGTTATTCTGATGTGTTATAACTTAACCACTTTTATGGGAATTTTTATAGAGTTGGTTTTCTTTTAGGTGCAGGATTTAAAATATCATTGCTACCCTCATTAGCTTTCCAGTGCATGCAAAGCCATTTTTGTTAACCAGCTAATTCACCAGTAGCTTCCATGTACCACTAGAACTTGAGACACAATACTGCTGGGACCCGATGAAGGTGATAAAAAAATGTCACCATTTGATGGAGTGAATGTCCCTTAATTCTCTAAGACTTCAAAGGTCTTTAAAAGCTTCTGTACAGACATATGTAACTTAAAAGCTCCACTGCGTTCCTTCTTGTACTACAAATACTCCACATATTCTGAAAAGATAGATGAAATCATCAATTTTATAGTAAAAAGAGCATCAATAAGAATTATGTTTAATTCAGACTTAAAGCTAGCAAGCCATAAAAAATGCAGTCAATAACAGCACAAAAACACTTTTCATCCATTCATGTGAGCAGCTTGGCTGACATCCATGGAACTGCTAAAATGATGTGATAAGAATTTAGCCTTGATATCTGGAGAATTGTTGTTCTTTTATATAAACCATTCACAGAGAAAAATTAAGGAATATAAAATTAGTCCAGAAAACTTAAGAAAGCAAAATCAGGTCATAGGAGAAAACATACTGGTGATTAAAATTGTAATTGTGAGCAGT